AATAAAGGTGACACAAGAATTTGGGGAGTCGGCTGGATTGAAAATAAATTTGAAAAGAACTAAAATAATTAATAAAAATTGCACAAATAATACAATACAAGAAATTCAGAAAATAACAGATATAAATAGTGAAAAAGGTTAAATATTTAGGGATCACTGTATCTAACAAAATAAGTACACTCTTAGAAGACAACTACTATAAATCTTTGGAAGATGTTAAAAAAGATTTACAATACTGGAAAAGTTTACAAATATCACTAATGGGTAGAATAGCTACTATAAAAATGAATATACTACCAAAATTTCTTTTTCTTGCACAAAACATCCCAAAATTAAAGCCCAGGTCTTTACAGAGATAGATACAATTATTAAAAAGTTCATTTGGTAACCCAAAAAGGCAAGGATCAAATGGAAGATTCTCCAGGATACAAAAGAAAATGGAGGTTTTGGTTTTCCAAACTGGAAGTTATATTATCAGGCGGCATCATTAAGTTGGCTGAAATGCATAAATTTGGATAATACAAGACTATTAAATCTGGAAGGGCACGACCTCAAGATGGGATGGCATGCCTACGTGTGGTATGGGAAGGATAAAATCCATTCAAACTTTGGATAACATATGTTAAGGGGGGCTCTGGCTAAGATTTGGAATGAGATTAAACTAAGATATTATAGGGAAACACCTAAATGGGTCTCCCCGTTAGAAGCATTCATAAAACCTTCCCTTATCAACGCGTGGGATAGAGAGAGCTATGAAACCCTACTAGATGGAAACAATAAATTAAAATCTGAAGAGAGCTTATTATCATTATATAAGATTAAATTATCATGGTGGGAAATGTTACAACTTCAGTCTATACACTTGAAGGATATACGTGCAGGATTCCAAGACTCCAAAACTCAACTAGATAAGATCTGGCTGTCAAGTAGTGACAAAATGATCCAAAAAATTTATAGCTTTCTGTTACAACAATATACTGTAGATGAGCAAGTTAGTGTTTCAATGGTGGCTTGGATGAAAGATATTGGGCATTGCATAGAAATAGATAAATGGTCCAGTACTTGGAAATTTCTTAAATACATAAGAGCTATCAACTATAAAGAAAACATTTATAAAGTAGCACACCACTGGTATTGGTCACCAGATAGGATAGCTAAACGTAATGCTGCACTACCTAATATACGTTGAAAAAGTTGTTCGAACGTCAGAACTTTTTTTCACATGTGGTGGCGATGTGTGAAAGTAAGTAACTACTGGAAGATGATTCAGAAATTTATCTCGGAAGTGATGTGTGTAACAATTGCCTTGTCCCCTGCAGTAGCTATGCTGAATATGATTTCAGAAGGTTACAATCAAAAAGATAATTTTTTGATAATATTTATATTGACTACAGCTAGAATACTACTAGCTAAATACTGGAAACAGGAGTCCCTTCCCTCAAGAGAGGTGTATAAGTTATTAGAGACAGTGGAACTTGATAAATTAAGTATCATGCTTCAAGGAAAAGATGGAAAAAAATTGTTGAAAGGTGGAAGTGTTTATATATATGGATAAATAATCAGTAGATGTTATAGACTCAAAAGGATATAGATTTGTCTGTATATACTTTGTATGTATTTAGAAAACCGAAAACTTGAAAAGAAGAAATAAGAAAAGCCAGGACAGAAGCCCTTCCCTGCTTTCATGAGCCAGTTCCAGAGGCACAGGACAACCAATCAAAGTGCCTGAGCCTGGACTGTGACAGAATGTGTCTTAGGCAAAGGGGCACTGATAGTCGAATTTGCAGGGAAGAACTAAGCTGCAATACATTCAGGGAGAAGTGGCTCTTCAAGTGTGTGGGCTCAGATCCTGAAGGGCTTTAAAGGTGAGCACCACCAGCACTTTGAATTAGACCCAGAAACTAATCAGCAGCCAGTGAAGTGAGCTCAGAATAACAGTGATATAGTCCCACTGGCTAGTCCCTTGATCGCAAACAAGGTGCCACATTTTGCACCAGCTGTATCTTCCAGATTGTCTTCAGAGGCAGCCCCACATAGAACATGTTACAGTAATCTAGCTTTTAGGCTACTGAAACCTAGATTAGTGTGGTCATATCAGACATCAGCAAATAGGGAGGCAGCATCCAAACCAGACATAGACGAAAAAGAGCATTTTTCACTGTCACTTACACCTGTTTCTCCAACAGGAGACCAGAACACAGCAAGACTCCCAAACTTTTCACAGAATCTTTCACCAAAAGCTGTACGTCACTGATGATGGGAAGAACATGGAAAAAGTATTACAGATATCTGAATTATCACGTGGCAGAAGCATGATGTGCCCCTTCATATTAAGTGGGATTTAATTACAAGTAAATGTATTTATAATGGGATATTAACCACAGTGCAAAGAAACATAAAAAATAACTGAGAATATGCTTTGACAGAGCATGAATACTATACCATTAGCTTTTCTGCTGAGTTCTTTTGGCTATATTAAACTAGCACTACATCATTATTGGAAATCAACAGTAGGGTATCATGTACCTAACTAGTGAGAAACAATTAACTCTGGAAAAGATTGTGTCACAGATAATGACTACAGTCTCAAACTCAGGGGACAGCTAAATGTTTATATTTATTTATAGTCCACCTTCCTCACTGAAATTAAAGGCAGATTACATAGCATAAGTCAATATGATCAACACGACGGGACATCCAGTGAACATTGCAACAAGCAGAAACCTGAAACAGAGTTGAAACAAAGCTGAAGCAAAGCATAAGAATTTAAATCATGACACGTTAAATGAAGCAGAAATTACATAGTAGGAGCACACCTACAGCAACAAACAGTACAAACTTTACACAGTACTGTCCATGGATCCTATACTTTTACCAAAGCATTTTTCTAAACCAGCCCTAATTACCTGTATAGGAGCCCTCCTGAATAATTCAGTTTTGCATAGTTTGGAGGAAGCCAGGAAGGTGACAGCCTTCCTAACCTCATCAGGATGGCTGTTCCACGTGTGGGCAGTTGTTGATTTTGCCCATCTGTAGGGTTGTACCTGCAGAAGGTTCTGCCCAGATGAGTGAAGCTTTCATGGTGCTGCATAGTGAAAGAGGCGGTCCTGCAGGTGTGAGGGCCCAAGGCCATGAAGGGCTTTGTCTGTGATAGCCAATACTATGAATTGAGCCCAGTCACTGATGGCCAGCCAAAGAACTGACTGCAAAAATGGAATAATATGCATGCTCCCCCAAGCTCCTAATAACAGAGCTGCAGCATTCGGCACCAACTGTAGCTTCCTAGTTGACTTCAAGAGGAGGCCTACATAGAGAGCATTAAAGTAGTCTAGTCTCAGTGTTACCATGACACAGATCCAGATAGCTGGATCAGCCATGTAGGAGTAGGGGGACATCTTGCGGGTGACACTCAGTCCTCATAAGCTTAAGAGTCAACAATGAGGTGGAGCATCTTGCATACATCCTTTTAAATACCTGAGTGTTTACTTATGAAGTCCAAGTTCTAGACAAGGTGGAACCTAAGCTTAATAAAGCTGTTATTTCTGCACTATAAAAGATGCACGAGTCAAACTTAAAATTAAGTCAGACTTACGCTGAGTCTCAGCTGTAGATTTCCCTTCAAATCGAGCTTGCAATAGCATTGCTGGGCACCCAGCAACTGTATAAAAAGAGAGAATTAAAGTATTACTTGTATTTTATAGCCATATGTGTCATCTGAGAAAGATTCACATTTTCATCACAATAACACCACAAAGAATACAACAATGATTTAAGAAAGTGTGTGTGTGTGTGTGTGTGTGTGAGAGAGAGAGAGAGAGAGAGAGAGAGAGAGAGAGAGAGAGAGAGAGAGAGAGAGAGAGAGAGAGAGAGAGAGAGAGAGAGAGAGAGAGAGAGAGAGAGAGAATATGAATGAATTTGCCTAACAACTTAATCCAATCCTTTCAACGCTTACTTGGAAATAAACCCCACTGAGGCCAATGGTACTGCTGAATAAACATGAGTAAGATTGAACTATAGTTACAACTGGAACAGTTCGAGGTTGAATAGGCACTTCACACACTTCAGACCCTACCATAATGGTATTAAAGCAGCCCACAAGGAAGACTGGAGCCAAAATATTCTTCTTCAGTAACTCTTTGAAGTCAATGATACATAAGGGCTCCTACCACCCTACAACTGTTGTGGGTAGGAAGCACTAAGCAGCCTCAATACTAGTAGTCTAATATCCCTTTGAAACAGATATTTTGTTTCAGGGCTTCATAGATGTCACCACAAAATAACTCTTGAAAACCTCTGCCCAGATAATCTTTCTGTATAACTATAAACATGATTTTCACATTAACTTCCATGTGGAGATTATATATATATATAATGCAGAAACTTTTTAAAACATATCAAGTAGCTCCTTCTGAAGAAGAGAGCACACTGAGGATTTTAAACCAACACAAATTAGATGCTTTTTAAAAGTGGATTAAGAAAAACAACTTCATCAAACGTTTATGAAGGAATCCGTCTGTCACACTGCGTTTTGCGCATATACTTAGCATCAGCAGCCTAAAAAAATGTAACCAAGCATAGAAAACCAGGGGGGGGGGGGGGAAAGAAATGCTAAAACGGAGGCGGAAGGTTAACATGTCAAGAGACACTGCTGACAGTATTAATAACATAACCATATTCTTTATACCCATTGTATAATGGCATGGGAGATTCCCCCAAAGAATCCTGGGAATTGTAGTTTCTAAAATTGTTGAGAATTCTGTTACAGATCCTTAGGTTCTCTCACAGAACTACAATTCCCACAGTGCTTGACAAAGAAAAAACGACCTGACCTTTGAAGAAGGCACCAAGTAGTAGCAACCGATACAACCACACCCCAGCGGACAAACTACTTCACCTAACAGAAACAGACCATCCACAAGCTCACCTCTCAGCCCACCGCGAACCAGCCCTACCACAGCCGCCAACATCTTGCCTACTCACGACACTAAACTCAATCAGCGAGCCTCACAAGGACACAACCGAACTCATTAAGGCGCATGCGCGCCATTGAGCTCTCTCCCATTGGCTTGACAAAGCGGTATCATTAGACGACCGGCTCCGCGGTCGCCCAGTAAACTAAGCCAATCCGCGCGCACGAAGTGGCCAAATGATCCGGAAATGAGGACCACGCGCGTGAATCGTGTAATCGTCAAGGGCAGCTTCCGGAAGCACAGATCAGAGTCGGAAGGAAAGTGCAGCCCCGTCTGGTGTCCCCCTGAGCCGTTCCCGGTGTGAAGTTCCGAGCCGGAGGGATGAAGGGAGGAGCCGCAAGTAAGAGTCGGTGTCCATTGAAGCCGGGACGCTTCCCTCCACCCCGCGCTCGTTGAGGGGGCGGGAAGTGGTTTTTGCCCACCCTTGCTGGGAAGGGGTGCTTTGGAATGGCGGCTTGGTTTTCCACCCGCCTTCAACGCAGGCATCTCAGGCCGCGCGCCAGGTGGCTCTGGGAAGAGCCTGTGCAAAACGGCTGGCTTCAGTTGGTGTTAGCGGGTTTAGGCTCGCCTGATTCAACATAAGCTCGGGCTGAAAGACGAGACACGTTCATTCGCCCTGGTGTCTGTGAGCGCAAGCTCCGCCATTCAATTGGAGAAAAGATGCATCCACCAACCTGTCGTAATCAGCCATTTCCAGGTACCTTTTCAGGTACCTGGTAGTTTTTAAGAACAACGGACCATCACTTTGGCTAGGGTTTTTTTCTCCCTTCGCACAATAATCAACGCTGTCATCTCCCATTTCTTTCTAAATCTTCCACCATTTGAAGCTATTCATTGCACTGTGGCGGATAAGCATATTTTTAGACCTGTCCTACAAATACATGACAGTCTAGCCAACCACACACACCCGGGAATGGTGACACAGCCTTCCGTAATGGGATATGGGCTTGAAGTGTATTTACAGTGCAGTCATAAGCATGTTCCATTGCAAATCCTATTTAGGTCAATTCAATGGAGTTTACTCCCAGTGTAGTGAGTTTATGATTGCACTATTAACTGCATTGGATTGTAGCAGTAAAGTGTGAAGTAGCTCTTGCCATTTTCCTGGTTAAGTGTGTGGACTCTAATCTGGGAGAACTGGGTTTGATTCCCCACTCCTCCACTTTCACCTGGCTGGATGACCTTGGGCAAGCCATAGCTCTGACAAGAGCTGTCCTTGAAAAAGAGCAGTTTCTGTCAAGAGCTCTCTCAGCCCCACCTACCTCACAGGGTGTCTGTTGTGGGGAGGGGAAGGGAAAGGCGTTTGTAGGGCGCTCTGAGACACCTTTGGGTAGTGAAGGGCGGGGTATAAATCCAATCTCTTCTTCTACTTTAACATTTTGCTCTTTTATGAGACCCTTTACACGTAATAACTGTAAAGGCACCTCTCTGTAGTGTTCTGAGGTGACGTGTTATGCTGCCTCCTTGCCTTCCTTAGCATTTCTTCCTTATTTTCCCTGCCATCAAATGGTCTTCCGTTAGAATTCTCAGTTGAACCCAAAGAACAGGATGGCTTAGTTATATTTGGTAGAATGACAGAACAGTCAGCACATGGGGGTGGTTCTGAGGTAAAAGGGGATCCTTGACTCAGTAGAAGGCAGTTGCTTTCTCTTAAACATAAGTAATGTTTATTTAGAAATAAAACAGCATAATGGTCGTCTTGTTTCTCTAAAGTTCTTTAAATATACCTAATCACACAGGCTGGTTTTCCATACTTGCCACATAGGCTAATAACTTCCACACACAATACAGATTTTGCTCACTTGTCACATCATCTCACTGTCTCTACCATCCAGTCAGCTCCACTGTCCTAGGGTACAGCTCTCATACAATAATAACACACTTCAATCAGTCATCCAGTCCACCATCTTTCTTATTCTAGAGCCTTGTATTTTAAAACTACAGCAACATACATATAAAACCACACATTCAATCATAAATAAAACACACAATATCAAAACACTAGAATGTCTTGAGGTTTGGTACATCAATTTGGATGAAACCAGTACTTTTTAAATACCTCCTGGCATTTTGAGGAAGCACACAAGACATACAAAATATTTCAAATAAGAAATGTTGTCTTCAGACCAGCTGAGTTCTGTTGACTCAAATTAGAATGTATATCTAGTATTCCCCATACTGCATGAATTTCTGAAGTTATATAAATATGGCACAGTATGACACACGCTGAATAAGTATTTGAGTCTATGGTGATTTGTTGCAAGAGATTGGCAGGAGCCCAGTCATATGCACTGGAATGCAGGATACTGATGTCTTCTTGAGCTGTTCCATGCCGCTTTTCAAATTTAACTGTGTAAGCTTTTTACTTGTTACTCTTAGTTGTCAGACACATGCAGCACAAGTCTGATAAAGAATATATGTTGTTTTTTCAGATTGGAGATCAGATCTAGGCAACAACATGGATTCTTTGGAGGAGACTGGAGGTTCATCAACAGAGGAAACTGGAAGTTCCTCTGCAGAGAACTACTTTGTGAATTACACTTTCACTGACCGTTCTCACTCAGGCCGTGTGGCCCAGGGAATTATGAAGCTATGCCTAGAGGATGAGCTTTTTGCAGATGTTACCATCTCTGTAGAAGGGAAAGAATTCCAACTGCACCGGCTAGTCCTCTCAGCTCAAAGCTGCTTTTTTCGTTCTATGTTCACTTCCAATCTGAAGGAGGCACATAACCGGGTGATTGAGTTACAAGACATTAGTGAGAGTGTATTTCAGCTACTGGTGGACTATATTTATCATGGGACTGTAAAGCTGAGGGCAGAAGATTTGCAAGAGACTTATGAGGTGGCAGATATGTATCAACTAACTGCGCTTTTTGAGGAGTGTTCCCGTTTCTTGGCTCGAACAGTACAAGTGAGGAACTGTCTGCAGATTATGTGGCTGGCTGATCAGCACAGTGATGTGGAGCTCTACACAGCTGCCAAGCATTGTGCCAAGTCATACTTATCACAGCTTCAGGAAACAGAGGAGTTTCTACACCTTCCTCTCCGTCTCTTGACAGATATTCTCACAGGTTGGTAGAACAGTTACTGAAAACAGCTATATACTGTAAGTGTGAAACATAAGACAAAGTGCACATGTGAAAGGGAAAGTGGAGATTTCATCAGTTTAGATCCTTCAGAAGCAGTGTAGAATAACCAGATATTATATTTTTAATTGAAGGTAGAGCAAGATTTTTGAGCTTATTAACATAGCAAAAGTTAGACGTAATGAGTCTATACAGTTATGACAGACCCCTGTCTCTTTCCCAACACCCAGGCAGAATTTTCCCACTAAAAATATTTTAGTTCCCCTCAGTGACTGAGCCATTCTTCAGTAGTGCGCATTTCTTCTTTATTTTATAAGCTTTAACTGTCCCACCCTGTCCCAGCTATTAGTTTATGCTTATAACCCAGCACAGGAACTAGAGGGAATACGAGCACTGTCTTGTTTTATAAACACTTGTGAAATGGCACTTGAGGCAGATTACCTTTCAAAAACAGAATACAGATGTTATTAAACAGGCAAGGGAATATATAAATATGAGGATTCAAGGTATAGAGGTTGCTGAGATAAAACCTTCTAGTATATACAGAATTGAGGCTTTTGAACATACAAGAGAGTGTTGTTGATGCTTAATTTCTGAGTTTCAAGTTCTTTTCAATGAGAGATTTTTGCTTATTATATATTTCAGCCATTACACAGAATCTTAAATAGTTTCTTAGAGAATAGTGTTGCCTTAGTGCTTCTAGGTTTCTCCCTTCAGATATCCCTTTAGATATTAGTTTTTTCACTAACTCCTGAGCTGTCTAAGCTTCTCCCCTTTATCACAGACCAGGGTTCTCTTCCCAACTCCTTTCACTAGCAGGTAGTTATTCTCCTTGTCTCTAAGAAGCAATAACTCCTTTTACTATTTGGCTTGTCTGGGAGTTCTCTCTAACGACTCAGACCTTCTGCTGAATCCTTCTCCAGTATTTGTTGTCTGTATAAAGCTGTTTTGTAGCTTTCTTGACTGAGAATCTAAGTTTTCCCTCAGAGCAGTTTTACTTCACTATAGAAGTACTTTTCTGACAATTCTTTCACAGGAATCACTGACTCCCAAAGTCTCTTCCCTTAGAAGCCAGACCCTCTGGCTACTGATCCAGACATTAGAGTTCAGATCAAGACCAAAAGTGTCTCAAAAGGTGAATAAATCTTTTCCCTCCAGATCAGCTGTTTTATTTTTTCTCTCAGCTGATGCTGGCCAATCGGAGAGTGAGTAGGGCAGCCAATCACATGAGCTCTTCTCTCCAGGGAACTCTCTGTCCAAAGCAGCATTTTAAAAAGCCTGCTTTTCTGAGCAATCTATCGCAACAGTTAAAAACAAAAAAAGTGCTTCTATGAAAAGCTTTACTTTCTTGGAGTCTTAAGGGACAAAAATTATTATTTTGGATACTTGAAATTAATGGGTGGATCAGACTGAAAAGCTTGCAGAATTAGTAGGCAGAGTGTATCTTTACTCACCTTCCCATAGTAGCCTGTTACTTGCCCCAGAAATCCTCTCTGAGTGTGACAATACAAGGTGCTGCAGTGAGGGGGGACATTAGGTAAAACTGTCTCCTTGGCTGCCCCTAAAAGACAATTTTCAAAACAAGCAAGCTTCTGGGGAAAGGGAAAGGTTGTGGGGAAATCTACTCTGCCAGCTCATGTGGGGTTCACCAGTGGGTCCACCCTAGTGTTTCCTAAGAGTTTGTGCTTTATTCTAGTTGGCTGCATATAGTGAGCAAGAATTTGTGTGCTATACTTGTCCAAATTACGATATTTACACATGTAAAATGGGAGATAGTTGAGGACTTTGATTTATAATGCATTTCTAAAGCAGCAGTCAGTGATTAACAAGATACTTCACCCTGTTTAAAATGAAAGCCACTATACAGCACATTGGATATAATAACTGATTGACCAAATTCCCTAGTATAGTTCAGTTAAAGTCAGTTGGGGTAATTCTCCCTGAGGAAGTGGATTATAGTCCACAAATGCTTAAAAAATGTCTTTCAGGTGCCACATGACTCCTTCCACTCTGGTTAGAGGAGCTACAACTCTCTGCCGTAGGAAGTTTAATATATTGACTCTTAACCTATTCTCATATCCTGAGGCTTTGAACTGCAATTTCTGGCTCTTTTCTCAGACAGCAAGAACTACTCCGTGCTTGTCTTCAGGACATTCTTGTTGTAGAGTGCTACTTTGGGGAGCTCCATTCAGCAGGGCATAACTAGGAATTTCAGATTAAATGACACATGCAAGATTGTCCAGGAATCCATTGTGCATGCTGTTGAAAGCAATAATAATGTAATTTTGTTTAGGAGTCTACCCTGAGAAGGTAGAAGGTGAAGCACTGAAATTGTTTTTCAGATCCTTCTTGAGGTAGTAGAACAGACCTGTAGGAGCTAGAGATGTAAAATTTCCTGAAATTTTGAAGCTTGGGGAAAAAACCAGGTTTTTTCCAGGGGGAAATGGAAATTTTCGGAAAAATTGAAAAAATGCTACATTAGTACTTTTCTTTTTCAGATTGAAAGTCATTCTGTTACTTTAGGAACATAAAATATGACCATGGACAATTTTACTTGGCATGAAATTATCACAACTAGCATATTAAAATATACTGTATCCAAACAATTATTGTGGGTGGGTGGGGAGTAAAGACTCAGATTAGCAGTAATTAAATTATTATTTACACAAAGGTTATAAAGATAAACTAATGTAGCTGAATGATTCCGTTTTCTGGAATCAGATAAATGAAAACTCTTTCCTTTTTAAATTAAGTATATACTTTCAGGTCCTTTTTGTTGCTCTGTATTTTCTTCCAGTGCTTTGAGGCCTAGTGAAGCCTGAGTGCCCACCCACATGCAAAAACCCTTTTCCTTTTCTTGTGACAATAGCACCTCCTAAAGAAAGAAATGCATCTTGTTCTTGCATTGGACAGTTCAGTTTGTAATCTAAGACTTGCTTGTCCTCCAGTGCACAGAAATTAGATCAATCTGATACCATACATATTTTTTAGAAATGATTTTGTCTTAAAATATTTTATTCATGATGTTAAAATAAAACGCTCCATAATCAATTTCTTTTTCTTTTTTCCAATTTTTCGGGAAAAAAAACAAAAGGCTTCAGGAAAAAAACAGGGGGGTGGACCAGTTTCCCCCCCGAATTGTTCTAGTTTTTTTCCCGGGCCTTCACATCTGTAGTAGGAGCCTTTCTTTAGTGCAATACCCTCTTGCATTGTTGGAAGGCTCTTTGTGCAGAGAGAATGTACTGCCAGTAGGGTTATGGGTCCGTAGGATTGGTAAATTTCAGTATCATAAAAATGCCTGTAGGAAAGCGTGGAAGCTTTTTTATGCTTAGCAGAAATATGTCAAAAATGAATTGTTGCGGTTTGGCAGGGACAAATTTTAATGCAATTGTAGAGGGGGTTATGAAAAGCCCAGTGTTTTCATTACAGAGAGGGCCAAGCTCATTGGCCTTTTTGTAATGACTCTTTTATTTACTATTTTTTATTAGTCTCAGGGTGGGGGTGACTCATGGAGGGAGCCCCGCTCTCTATGAGACACAGCAAGTCAGGCCTCTCCATCTTGTTTCTCTGGACTATGACTTCCACCACCAATCAAATACCTCATGGGCTAATGTTTTTGGATTTTTAGTTTCTGTACACATTGTATTAAGAATTTTATTGAAATGCACTTTTGAAGTTCTTGGAAAATCGGAAATAGACATCCTGCATCAAACCACACATTCCAAAGACTTAAGGGGCCTGTAAGTTGTCTTAAGAGGAGGCAGTGATTTTCACCAAAGTAGGGTTCTGCAACAGGAAGGGAGAATTGGTGGAAATCACCTGCCCTTCTTAAAAGGTAACCTTAAATCGTTTGAATGTGTGGTTGGATACTTATATCATTTATACCCCACTTTTCTCCCCAAGGGGGACCCAAGGTAGCTTACATAACTCGCCTGTCCTCCATAACAGCCCTGTGAGGTAGGTTAGGCTGAGAGTGTATGACTGGCCTACACAGCAAGCTTCCATGGAAGACTGGGAATCTGAACCTGGTTCTCCCAGATCCTAGTCTGACACTCTAACCAGTTCACCACACTGGCTCTCTACAGGTCAGTGAAATCTGTTACTACAATAGTTCTCCAACTTTGTCCTTAGTGTGCCTCTACAAAGTAGAAAATCCTCTCCATGACTAAGGCACAGTGAGCATCTACCTAATGCTTCCTGTACTTCTAACTGCAGGGAGACAAACTGGGGTCTGGTCATATGGCTATTGTTGGTCACAGTTCATCTCTAGAACAAGAATAGTAACACACAAGAGCTCTTGTTATTTAACAGGTAACATGGTATATGGAAGGAGTGCTAGCTCCGCCTAAGTTACTTGACAACTTCTTGTCTTTGCAAACACACAGATGGGGTTCCATGTTCCCAGAATCCAACTGCTGCCATTGAAACCTGGATCAACTTCAATAAAGAAGAACGTTCAGGTTTCTTAGAGATACTGCAATCAAGTTTAAAGGTATGTGGTTAAATACAGTTCACTGTGCTTTCTCTCTCCCATATGCTTAGCTGTGATTACTTTGTTGAACAGAAGAGATTTCTTGCCACAACTGAAAACTTGGGGAGCTTTCCATGGATGCCAGAGACATCTAGTCAATGGCAGCTAGTCTGATGAGGATTCAGTCTTGAGTCAGTTGAGTTCCCTACCTATTTAGGTACAGCTCTGCATTACACAGGTGTTTCCTCTGCAACAAAGGTGTTAAAGTTTATTTTCCACAAGTAGGCACGATTGTGGAATTTCTCTGCAAAAGACCCATGTGAGGCTGATGAAAATACCTTTTATTTCTTAGGAAATTGGAGAAAACGTTCATATCTACCTGATTGGAAAGGAGTCCTCACGTACGCATTCCCTTGCTGTGTCTCTGCACTGTGGTGATGATGACTCCATCAGCGTTAGCGGTCAGAACAGCTTGTGCCACCAAATCACCGCAGCCTGCAAGCATGGTAGTGATCTATATGTTGTTGGAGGCTCTATCCCACGACGCATGTGGAAATGCAACAACACTACGGTAGACTGGGAATGGTGTGCTCCCCTGCCCCGTGACAGGCTCCAACACACACTGGTCTCTGTGCCCAGTAAGGATGCAATCTATTCACTGGGTGGCAAGACATTGCAGGACGTTCTCTCTAACGCTGTCATATACTACAGAGTAAGAGACAATGTATGGACAGAGACTACCCAGCTGGAAGTAGCAATTTCTGGAGCTGCAGGTGCATACCTCAATGGCGTTATTTATTTGTTGGGTGGGGAAGAGAATGATCTTGACTTCTTTACCAAGCCCTCTCGGCTTATCCAGTGCTATGACACTAATACAGAGAAATGCTATGTGAAGCCCTATGTGTTACCCTTTGCAGGGCGCATGCATGCTGCTGTGCACAAGGACTTGGTGTTCATAGTAGCAGAGGGGGACTCGCTGTTGTGTTATAACCCTCGGCTGGATAGCTTCACCCGGCTCTGTCTGCCAGATGCCTGGAGTTCGGTACCCCCCCTTTGGAAAATTGCTAGTTGTAATGGTAACATCTACATCTTCCGGGATCGCTACAAGAAAGGGGATGCCAACACCTTCAAACTCAATCCAGCCACCTCCATGGTAACTGATACCAGTGGTCTCAAAGTGCTACTTACCAATTTGCAGTTTGTGCTGGCCTGATGGAAGAACATCTCCAGGCCCAATCAATGGAGACATTCCATGAAGCAGCTCAGAGATGCCTAGATATCCTAGCTCCTGCTCCCCAGGGCAGATCACGGTACTTTAAAGGACCCCCTTCCTTTGTCAGCTGCTGCCGCCAACAGCAGCATGATGGTTGTACACCTGCTTCCACTAGCACTTAATTTGCCACAATCTGGGTCCCAACTGGAGTGCTGCTATCACTGTGATCCCCTGATGTTCAGCTTCTTGTCTCTCAAAGCCACATAGCTAAGAGGTTGCTTAGATGTACACCCTTTATCACCAGCAAGCCCTGTACAATATAGATGAACTCTTTCTACAGTCAGCTAGAGTTTTCTGTTGCAAGTTCTGCAGACAGCTATAAAGTTATAAAATCCCTCAGCTGCAACTGCCAGATAAGTGGTTCCTTGTGAAGGTCCCTCTCTCACTTGCGCAGTGGAGGACAACTATTTAGCTAGAGCTCCTTAATGCTGAAGTTGACATGGTTCTAGTAAGAGTAAATGAGACCACTATTCCTCAGTATATTACCAGCCAGGAGGAAAAGTAAAGCTTTCCTTGATGCCAGTATGCCAGCTGAGGTCCCCTGCCCTGCTACTGGAGGGCCCATCCTCTTTACTGTAGCTTATGCAAAAGAGCATGTTGTAGAGAGGAATGGTGTCAAAGCTACTTGTGGATGCTGTCAGTCTCTTGAGTGCAAGTCTTAATAAAGGTCTCTGTTGGGAAAATGGTGTGGCTTTATCTTTGTGTTTGTGAAGGAAGCACTGACAAGTGCGGTCCCACAAATCTGCACTGAAATATGCAGGGGCCATTAGCAGCAGGCAAAGAGGTAAAATAAATCAGCAATAAGGCTAAGAGCTACTAGACCTCTCATATTCTGTGGGAAGATTATTTATTGGTAGATAAGACAATCATAGCCGGCCCCTAATCAACAGTACATTAGGAATCTGATTATTTCTGACTAGGATCCTGTGTATCCTCTGGTGGCTTTGCTGTATCCCCAGTGAGCTTTTCTGCCCACCTGCCAGCCCATGCTCTGTCTTTGGTGGTTCTTGCCATCATTCTGCAGGAGTTCCAGCAGTTACACTCCTATGAAAGTCCCCTAGTAACTGTACCTGTTTTTGGCGGATGATGACATGAGGCCGGATCTTAGCAATGGCTTCGATTGCTTCTTGAGGGGTCCACTGGTGCAGCTATAAAATCAGCAAACACATGAATAAAAAAGAATGATCTACGGAGATGGAAATTAATATTGCTGAAGTGACACAGTGGGAATGCTACTAATTAGAAGAGGAAGTTGATACATAATTCCTCCTCCTCTCATTTCTGAGATGAATCCCAATTGTGCCCTGCCATTTGTGACAGCCTCTCAGCTGAGATCTGCCTTGGTCTTATCTAGGTGTAGTTTCTCAGTGGGAACAGTTGTTTTACTTACTAACTTCTCTTTAACTCCTGCAAGGTCTATGGTAGTTGTTTTCATTTTCTCTGCCAATTGGTATTAAAATCCAGGGCCACAGCAGGATTCCCCCATCACTGATGATGGGAGCAGAATAGCTTTCCCATGAAGACTTCTACATCATCCCATTCTTGAAAGCAGCATTTATGCTGTCCTGACATCTCCCACAGAAACCCTTCTTACCTGAATTAAATATGCTGCAACCATAGTGGCACTGCGAAAGCGGCCAGCTTTGCAATGCACATAAACACTGTTTCCACATTCACGATGCTTCAGTAAAAACTGGACACCTTTGTGTAGGTTTTCCAATGAGGGGACTCCAGTCAGGTCTACAGTGCTAAGACGAAGGCATTCGACACCCATTGCCTCCCACTCCTGCAATTAACCCAGAAAACACAGAGAATCATCTGTAGGGCCTTAGAGGAGAAAGGCATTGTATTGGGTAGAAAGAGGAATATACAATTAAGATGCACTAATTGAAAATACAGGAAAGTTGAAAGGATGACTTCACAAAGATTAAAGGGAAAAGGATAACATCACCAGTTCAGGCTGCAATGATGCACATTTGCCTGGGAATAAGCTCAACTGGGGTCCCTGCCACACAGCAGAACAAAACCCGGGCAAAGTGTGGCTAATCAGAGCCGCACCAAAACAGAGATGCCGCGGCGGGATCCCACGGATCCCCTGAGCTGCGGCGCCGTTGCTCCCCGGCACGATCAGATGCCGGGGAGGAAGCCACGGTCGTCGGGAGGGGGAGGCTGCCGAACTGCGCATGTCTGAGCATGCGCAGTTCGGCCAGGAGCCAGAGACGCGCCGGCGAAGGCCACGCTGGCGATCCCACGGCCAGCCTTCATGCGGCCTTGCCGGAAGAACCACCTCGGTAGGGTTTTTTTGAGCGGAAGGGCCGGATCGGGGACGAGTGCGCAACGCTTCCCAGATGTTGCGGTGGGATCGTGCCCGTTTGCTCCACCCCCGATCCGTCCCTCTCCCAGCCCAAAACCTCTCGTGTGACCGGGGCCTGAATGTAGTGAGATTTACTTCCAAGTAGATATACATAGGTGTTAACTATTTTATATTCCTTTCTGTCTGAACAGGCTGTGTTCTATACTTACATTTAAATATTCCCTCCAGATCCAGAAGTAGATTTCTACCAGTTGCTTCTCCTCCTATGCACAACAAGATGAAGACTTACCTGGCGAGAACAGCATAGGAAGCGAGTCTCATATTCTTCATTCATGGTGACAACACCTCGCACATTCTCCTCTTCTACCAACTGCAGGAGGAAAAGTCAACATACAATGTTTGACTATGGAGCCCTACCCCCCAAAGGCCCATTTGTTGCATCCAAACTATAAATTCCTTACACTAGGCTAGCAGAAGGGTGGAGAAAATTTGGGGTGGCTGATTTTTAATTACAAAGACCCATTCGCCACAAGCAGCTGTGCCGCTGTCACTCTTCCGTTTCCCCCAGTTGTATTGGTCAATTTCACATAATCAGTATTATAACTGGATTGGAACTTAAATACCGTAGCGAAGCACGGGTAGCAGGCTAGTTAGCAGTAAAGGTAGCTAATGCCTTTAATCGTCAGTGAGGCACTTTCAGTCTCTAGTTAGTAAGCCAGCATCACATCCAGCCACATCCTGACTCTAGGACTGGGGACTTATTCACAGAATAACTCCAGGGTCGGCAACTTTTTTACAGCAAGAGTGCACTGAAATAACAGTCTGCCACATACAATTTAAACCAATGATGTTTCTCCCGTCAATTTGCCTCCCTGCCAGATAAAGTTTTGCCAATCGAAACTTTGCGTTTCAGGCGGCTGCTTAAAGGCACAAGGGAGATGCAAAACCTGAGCATCCACTACCAGCAATTCCATATTCGTTTTTTCCGCACCAGCTGCCACTAATGTGACCCAGAAAAGAACACGTCCTTTGCACACCCTGCTCCGAACTGATCGGCGGAGGGGCGCAGCGGGCTCGGACGCGTCCTCCGGGAGATTCCCGTTACCTGGCGGCACCTTCCCCGCAAAGGCAGCGCTCCCAGGAGCACCGTGCGGTCGATGCGGCTGAACCACGGCCGCTGCGATCCCGGCAGCCGCTCCCGCGCCAACGTGTACAGAAGCGTCGGGTAAAAGAGTAGCCGCGCCACCCCGGGACCCAGCGTGCTCAGGATCACCATCTCGGGGCCGGAGCCCGGCGGCTGAGCGGAGGTGAGTGTCAGACTCAGAGGCCGCCGCTGGAGCAGTTCATTCCGCGCCAAGGGAAGGGGCGAGACCAGGGTGGTGACGATGTCGGGACGGAAAGGCTGGTTCTGGGGAGCTGTTTGGGGCGGAAGGAACTCTCCTGGCCGCGTCGCTTCGCGCGCGCGCGCGCCTTCCTCTGCTGGTGCGCCTCTCTCTCCTGCCCTACGATGGTCTCTCCCGGAAACGCAGCCATCTTGCGAAACCGGCCTGAGGCGGAGAGAGCTAAGCGGGGCGCGGGCGGATCCCCCGGGGCAGGCGAGGGCGGTGGCCGCCAGGAGGAGCCCGGGCAGGGCAGGGAGGGAACAGCGCGCAGCAGACGGTGAGTACGTCCCGGCTCTCTCGCTGGTGGCGCTCGTTAACGGAGCGTTCTGCTGTATGGGGAGGGGAGGGGAGGGGAG